GTCATACATTGACTGTTTATCCATCTGAAGCCACATTTTTACCATTCACTGTTTAGATCTTGGTGGTTTTTAAATTTTTTTTAATGGATTTGAACTGAATGAAGGTTTCACCTAAATATGGTTTGTACTGATTTTGGTGAAATCAGAAATTAGATATAAATATGTGCCAAAAGAAGCAAAAAAGAGCTTTACTAAAAAATCCAAGATGGCGGAATATTTTCATCTAAGGAACCCACTTTATGAACATGTTTTTTTCTACTTCTAATGGTTCATAAGTAATCAGCCATTTATTCAGAGTTTGTGAACATTTGAATTATGTTTTTAACTGCAAAAATGTGTGAGTATATGCGGCCCAAACAAGCATATGAATAAAGAGTGAAGATAATAATGTGAGATTGTGTGTGGCAATCAATTAAAGTCAAATGATTTACGAAAACTTATAAAATAAAGTTAGTATCAGCAAGATTATTATTGTTACTATAATATGGATTAAAGAAACAGGACAGACCTCTGCCTTGTATCTATAGTACTGACCTAGGCCCTGTTTGTACAGCACTGACCTATGCCCTCTATCTACAGCACCGACCACTGTCCTGTATCCTTCCTATTGTCCTTCGCTCAAACTTATATTAATATTAATAATATAATTTGCTTTACTATTATTTTAATAAAATAGACTGTACAGACCTTTGACCTGCATCTACGGCACTGACAGCACTGACTTCTGACCTGTATCTTTCCTGTCCTCTGTAACTTAGTATTATTGTGGAGCTATTGTTGGTAGAATTGTATGAAATGTAACACGTGCGATGTGGCTTTATGTACAACATTCCCACATTTGGTTGCAATTCAATTCAGCATTGAAGAGTTAGTGGCCGTTAACTGCATCGGGCCACGTCTTCAAAAGTTCAGCACTAAGTGATACCCAAACACAAACCCATAAGTCTTATTTGGCTTCAACAAAATATGCTATGCACCAATTTTGGTGAAGTTTATATGAAATATGTGGCAAAAGAAGCAAAAAATTGCTTCATCCAAAAGTCCAAAATGGCAGAATGTTTTTAAGGCAGGAATGGGCATGGCCTACATATGTAAAATAGACATAATTCAAAAAATCCACTAAACAATAATGTTTCCTTTACTCGTTAACGGTTCATAATTAACGTTTCAGTTACCTTCACTATTTAAAAATTTTCTCATTACATTTTCACCTTATACCACATTTTACACAGATCATTTTCTCTGTTCCTGCAGAAAGCTTCATGTTTGAAGCTCCCTCTGAGTCAAATAATCTACCTGTAAATGTTCGTCTGTATCGTCTCACCACCTGTTTAAAAATTCCCTTTCTTCTCTTTCTAGGATCAATTCAACTCGATACAGTTTGGGATCAATAAGGTGTATCTGATCTTAATGTTTTATATGGTACGTTGGTCGTTGCAAACCCTTTGTAAACGCCTCAAACAGTTATTCCTAATTAAGAATTTCCACACAAATATTAAAAATGAATGAAAGTTTAATCAGTCGGATTATAATGGTGAATTATTTGTATTATTGGGAGAATATTTTATGTTCTGTTTGTCAAAGTTGTGTAACTGCAGGAATCACAACAATAAATCAATAAAAAGACAGTTCTGCATTATTAAATCATGTGATTTGTAACTTTATTATAAAGATAAACTATGGAATAATAGGATGAAGTGTCTCTATAGCACGTTGGCCTGGCTGGAGTTGGCCTGAAGGATCTGAAGAGTCACAATGAGTCTGATAGCTTTTCTAAACCAGGGGTACAAGAAGGCGTAGATCAGCGGATTCAGACAGGAGTTAAAGTAGAACAGACAAATCACAAAGGCCACAGAGGACGTGTCGAGCACCGTGTCCTGCCCTGTGATGGTGATAAAGCAAAACGGACAAAGACACACCAGGAAGGCAACTACGATAACACCCAGGTTTCTGGCTGCTTTCAGCTCAGACTTCTTGGCGGTTACGGTCACTGAGCACTGGACGGCTGCAATGTGAGAGCGTGTGGCGCGAGCCTGAGACGCCGCCACCACAAACACCCTCATATACAGAACCACGATGACGGTGATGGGCCCGATAAAGGTCAGAATGACATCGGCGATTCCTGCGATGTAGGTGATGACGGTGACACACTGACCAGAGCAGGAATGATACCTGCCCGGCTGCACCAGGTTGTCCTTCAGCATGGCGGTCTGACAGAGCACGGAGCAGCTCCAGCACAGAAACACACACACTTTAACTCTGCTCTTGGTCACTCTCACGCTGTAATGCAGCGGTGTACAGATAGCCACGTAGCGGTCGACTGATATGAGCACCATGTTTCCCACCGAAGCGGAGGTGATGATGTAGGCCACGTACTGATACAGGATGCAAACAACGTCACCCAGCGGCCAGCAGCCATCTATGAGCGGGATCTGGAAGAACATCAGGAGGCCCACGAAGAAGTCTGAGACTGCCAGAGAGAGGAGGAGGAGGTTGGTAGTGGAGTGCAGCTTCCTGCGGGGAGAGGAGGAACACGTTAGGCCCGGTGGAGACGAAGGCAGCAGGAGGAGGTCACAGAAAGCTGCAGTCAGTCGGACAATAAACAGGAAGTCACTAAATGTTTACATCCTGTTAGATCATCTGTAGGCCGCCTATATCAATATAAATAAACCTTATTATTATCAATAGGGCTGCACAATATAGTAAAAACATCATATTGCAATATGTTTTACGATTAGCGTGGGAATGATCGTCTTTGCATTACTAATTTGTAATGACTGACCAAACTGAGATTCTGATAATATTACAATTATTAAGTAAAATTAATTGTGCAGCTCCAACGAGATCTGTTTGTCACAGATGAAACTTTCACAACATGAAACAATCTACAGTCAAATATTAAAGTCACACAGAATTAGGAGAATGTGGTCATATTTTCATTAGCTCAAATAAAGTCAATACGGTTGTGAAAGTGCAGAAATAATGAATAGATGTCAACAATATTATTATACTTTATAATACATAGTTATAATACATATTCGTCCCTCTGTGAATAATAAAAGTGAAGCACTGACTGTATTTGTATTCTGTAAATGAATTTGTAGTGCAGATATGATCTTTCTATGTGAATGTGTTTAAAGCAGATTGGATATAGTGGCAGGCAGAATGAACATGAATAAACAGTATTTACCTGAATATTAAAGAGGAAGATTACTGAACTACAAACAATGATTTAGTTCTCACATTGAATATATGTGCCAAATTGCAGAAACGTGCATCGTTATTTTCTCTTTTTCTTTCTGCAGAAACACCAGTTGTGCCCTCTGTATGCCTGTGAGTGCCGATTGAAAGCAGGTTCTCACACTCACACACACACACACTGAAGTACAAACACTGGTCCTCATTTCAGCGTAACAGCATTCAGACAGTAACAGCTCTCAGTCTGTGTGTGAACTCACTACTGACACAGATTATCTCTGCAGTTTGTGGAAGCTGTGAGGAGATTTATAGTTGTAGAAAACAACATTGAGGATAAAGTCTGTGCACGAATGTGGTTAGACACACACACACACACACAGAAAGAGAGGATTTTTCTACACATTCCCAACAGTTTTACGGAGGCTCGTAGACAACACAAGCCTTTAAATGAATTCTGAACATTTTTTATCCTGACGTTATTTGAGCTCATACTGGTTTAAAATATAACAGTAAATGTGGTGAAGCTGTAAACTGAAGTTTGTGGAAACAAATTCTACAACTCCAACTCTTTTCTAAACCTTCCAAACTGTTTTCACAAGTGCACAAAGGATCATAGACAA